GTGTGTGTGTGTGTGTGTGTGTGTGTGTTAGTGGGAGTTGAATTCAGGCCCTTAAACTTGCCTGGCAGGCACTCTAATAACCACTTGAGCTCCACACCCAGCCCTTGTGGCTTTAGTTTTTTAATAGAGTCTCATTAAACTTGCTATGTAGCTAGGATGACACATGTGCACTGCTGTACTCAGCTTTTTTTCTTTTCTTTTTTAAAAACTTTTTGTCGCTCATGTAACTGTAACCCTCTGTATAGTATCTTTACAATAAAAAAATTTAAAAATGTGACTTCCCTACTCCAACCTCTAAACATCTTCTGTATCTTCACTCCACAAAAGCAACTACTAAAAACTCTTTTTTTTTTGGTATACAGATAGATAGATGTAAATTTTTTTTATTTTAGTTTTGGAGTAAAAAAAAAAAAAAACTTTTTGTCGGTCATGGGCCTTGAACTCGCCTGGGCTCTGTGCCTCAGCTCATCAGCTCAAGGTAGCACTCTACCACTTGAGCCATAGTGCCATTTCCAGTTTTCTGGTGGTTTATTGGAGATAAAAGTCTTACAGAAGCTTTCCTGCCCGGGCTGGTTTTGAACTACAATCCTCAGATCTCAGCCTTCTGAGTAGGTAGGATTACAGGCATGAGCCACCAGCTCCCTACCAGCTTTTTTTCTTAAGTTGAGATGGGGTCTGGTGCATTTTTTGCAGAGTGACCTTGAACTGTGATCCCATGAACTCAGCCTCCGAGGAGCCAGGATTGTGCTGCACCTGGCTTGACTCTTGCCTTTAAAAAAAAATGTGTCATAGGAGTGATTCATAATAACATGGCCCTCAGAGTGGAGCAAAATGCAAAGGGAGAAAGGATTCCTGGAGAAATGTTTTCTTTTTGTTTTGTTGTTGTTTTTTCTTTTATTTATTGTTCCTTGAGACGGTGCCACCCACTGTCTAGCCCAAGCTGGTCTTAAACTGAGGATTCTTCTGTCTCATCCTTCAGCATTCTGGGATTGTAGGTACGTGCCACCACATCCCACTGTTTGATCCCTGGGCCTGGGCTTCTAGGTTTTTTAAGAGCAACGTGTCTGAGGGCTGTGCGTGTCCAGGTGTCCTGTCCTTGCATGTCTGTTTCAGGCTAAGTTTTCTTGTCATATATTGTGACCACTCAGACCATGTCAAAGTTTGAGGCTATTAGGTCATTTAGCTGGCACTGCCCAACACGTGCTCCATCTTCATTTCATTGTATAACCAAGCATCCGGAGCTTGGTACAGGGAACAGTGCACCATTTAGTACTTCATGGCTTCCATGGGTCAGCAGTGGAGATGACTGATTGTAACATAGGGATTGGGGAGGCTGCAGGCAGCTTGTTCAGCAGGGTTGGATTAGCATCTGAAGGGTCGGTTGTGGTGGGTCTGTTTCCAGAGGATCTGTTTTACAGCGGCAGTGTTCACAGTGGCTTATGTCATCAGAGTCAGTGAGGGCAGGACATGCACAGGATGGGCGCTTGTGTTGTGTGGCTGTCCCCTCACTGGAAGCAAGTCTGAGGTCTGTGCTCAGGGCAGGGTGTCAATCACCAAGTCTGGGCCGTTGGGGGCCGCTGTGTGTGTAGTCTGTCTGCCACATCTGCCGAGTGCCAAGGCCTGGGAAGCAGCGTTGAGGATAGCATCCTTTCCTTGGAGATGCTTTCTGTGGGGAAGTGGAAGTGTATATTGTGTGTGAGAGAGAGAGAATCTTCTATAGCACTGGCAAATGACCATGAGGCAGAGTTGAAAACTGAATTTGAAAACAGCTGTGGAAAACTGTTACACGTTTGCTTATTTGGTCTTAAAGATTATTACAATCTTTAAACTGATTTAAAAGTTTTTTTGTTTTTTCCAGTTGTGTGACTTGAACTCTGGGCCTGGGCACTGTCCCTGAGCTGTTCAGCTCAAAACAAGCATTCTACCACTTGAGCCACAGCGCCACTTCCAGCTTTCTGGTAGTTAATTGGAGATAAGAGTCTTATGGACTTTCTTTGCCTGGGCTGGCTTTGAACCGTGATCCTCAGATCCCAGTCTCCTAAGTATTAGCTAGGATGACAGGTGTGAGCCACCAGTACCTGGTTAAAGTATTTTAAAGTAGTTTACTTATTAGTGAAACCTGTAGTCAGCAGCAAGCAAGTCATGTATTTTGTTTTGTGTTGATACTGATGCTTAAACTCAGGGCCTCAAGCTCTTGTTTGGCTTTGTTGCTTATAGCTCATGCTCAACCACTTGGACAACACCCTCTAGTCTGGCATTTTGCTGGTTAATTGGAGATAGTCTCACTGACTTTTCTGCCTGGGTTGGG